CGTCACGATCGACACGACGCTCGGAAACCCCGGCCGTGATGAAGAAATAATGCCGATACGCCATGGGCTGTTAGATTCTGCTTCCGATACACTCACTTCGTTGGTACTCGTGGTGCCTCGAAGCATGAGGGGGGTAATGTTGGCACACGCCCATGACGCACCTACCGCGAAACAAACAGGTATAAAAAACAACACACGTCAGGCACTACAACAGGTAGAAACGACGGACCGGACGGTGACCGAAACACCAAGGTACGTATCCCCAAACCGGAGTGACGAGAATGTGAAACTCCCCCGGCTCCTGAGGACAAACCAATACAGGACCGACCCGCAGGACCACCTCCAGGTCAAAAACCAGGTATGGTATTACACCTTGGCACATTCCCCAGGACACGTGGGAACCGGCCCCACCAGACTACGCCGGAAACCGCGACCCCGCTGGTCAAGACCATACAGGGTGGGAAACAAACTCTCAACCGCAGTGCACCAAATCGAGGTCACAAAAGGTAGAGAGCCCACCCTCAGATGGGCCTGTTACAGCCAAACCAAACCACACAAACAAAGCCCCATGGGACAAGCAGGGCACACTTCAAAACCCAGTTAGGAACACACCACGTGACCTCAAACACGATTAGTCCAGCACCCACTAACACTCTTCTCGGCTGCACTAATCGACTCTCTCTTTCTCTGTCCCTGTCTAACCCCTAACAGTTGTTTCACGCCTTGCAGAACATGTGGTCCACTTTCCTTCTCGTGCTGACCTGCATACTGGGCCTCGGCACCCCAGAAATTATTGAGACCGGACCAGCCTCCGGGATCGTTTTAAAGGAACAACCCGGGCTCCTCATCACGGACGTCCGACTCCACACACAGCGAATCTTTGTCAGACTCAATCCTAGTGAAGTCTGCCGCAAGAACCTGCCCTTGAAGGTCACACTCAAAGATTGGGCAGGTGCACGCTGGACCCAGACGGTCGTGGAGCATGCTGAGGCAGACATACAACACATGCTGACGCAACTAGAGAAGTTCACGATCACTAGGACAGAGCTCAGTGACCCCCGCCCCAGACCCAAACGATTTATTGGGGCTCTCCTCGGCGCGGCGTCCGCCCTGGGCACCCTCTTTAGTTTAGGGATGTCCACGGTAAACGCCATCAGCCTATCCTCCCTCAGACGCCACCAACAAGAAATGGCCTCTGAGCTCGAGGATGTCAAAACCAGACTTGACCAACAACAGAACGACGTGGTAACCTTGGGAAAATCCCTAAAAGGAACCATGCTAGTACTTAACACACACGAGGTTGCGATTAAACGCACCTCCGCTGCGGTCAACCAACTCTTAGACGTCCTCCAACTAGACTACGCCCATACTCAGCTGACCACCCAACTGATGGAGGACATGCTACGTCACCTCAGTTCCTCGATCGAAAACCTAGCCATGGGCCGTATCCCGCCATACCTTGTGCCGCTATCGTTAGTTGAGAACATTCTAGCCGTAGCCACACGGGACGCCGTAACCCCCATGCAAGCCCACTTAGCGTACACGCTGGGCGCTGCAGTCCCCATCTATGTTAATCCTCTGGACCGCGAGGTAGCCTTTCTAGTCACCCTACCGATAGTTCCCGGCGACAAAATCTACCGACTAAAAGGGATCACTAACCTAGGGACTTGGAGGGACAATGCCCACGTCAGAGTCCAGACCCCAGACATAGTAGCCTACCACGACAGTAACCCCAATTTATACCTAACGCCAAACCTAAGGATGTGTACCCTCACCAAGGACATCCATTACCTCTGCCCCAGCAAACCTTTCGTCAGGGACAGCACCGATGGCATCTGCGGCCTGAGGCCCATGACTCCAGGGAGTCGATGCCCCGCGACGGTCACCTCTCGGAAACAAATAACCGAAACTAGAGCAGAGATTGTAGGGGCACGCTGGCTAGTGAACACTCCCCTTAGAACGGCGACCCTGACCTATGACAAACACGACACCTCGTCCCGAGTAAGCCTCCCGGACGAAACCTTTTGGGTCGACGTCCCAGCCGACGCTATCCTGCACGTAGGCGACCTGGCATTATACCACCTGTATCCGAACCAGTACGAGGCAGAGGTCGAGATACCAGAGTTCTTTGAGGAAAGGGCCTTGGAACTTCAACCCTCTACCCTAGTCCAAGCCACCTACGAGGGGGCACAAACCGTTGACGTTACGGTCGTAGACAATCTCCTTCAAGAGATTGCCAAGCGACCGACCATCCACCACCAACCAGTAGCCTACTCCTGGGCCGCCCCCGATACAGTCATGGCCATCGCGGTAGGACTCGGGTACGGCCTGGTCGTAGTCATGGCCTTCGTCCTAAATAGACGGGTTAGACGACTCCGCGATAGCTTTAACAGGTGCACGGAGGCAATGACGAGACAGATCCGTAGACGACCAAACCGGGGCGACAGCGCCGTCGAGCGTGGCAATTTGAGTCGGCGTCCCCAGGTCAATGAGTCAGAGTACGAGGACCTCCAAAGTCACCCACTCGAGGCGGTCACCCTTTCTATCACGGAAGGTGAACCAAGGGCCTAAAACACCACTAAGAGTCACCAGCTCAGACCCAACCAACCTACCTCGATACCTAATCAGTCTCCTAGACAATCATGCCTGTCATCCCCATTTATATGCAGGAAATGTCCCTCGTAATTAAAGCCCCACTTGCTACGTCATATATTCGTGTAACCCTCACACTCCCCTTTTAGAACGAGCAAGATGGGAACCCCTCACCATCGAGTGCCTTAACGACGCTCCTACCCGCTGCCAAGGCAGCCACTTTTTTTTTTGATTTTTGAAGTTTCCTATTTTGTATCCTAGTCCCCTAAAGTAGAAACTCCTGCTACTCTCTTGGCTTGGAACTTTGAGTCTTCCAGACCAAGAGACCCAGGAGTCAGGCGCACCGGCCCAAACCTTAGAGTTCACGGCCGGAGCTCACTCCCTAAAACCCCTGATTCCGGTTAGAACTAGCCTGCAGGGCCAGGACTCGCCTTAGAGAAAACCCGGCCTCGACAAACCAAGCCAGAGGCCCGAGACCCAACCGCTACGAGCCTGCCCCAGTTAGGCGCTTGCGAGCTACTGAGTCACATTGAGACGGGAATGTTGTAACATGTCACTACAAATTGTGTACACTAACACCCGAACAGGCGAGAAGACCGACTGAAGACAACCCCACAGCATATCCGACATGACATGCACCTTGTCGGAAGGTGCATCTCTGCCGTGGGGGGGGTATGTAAGGTTAAACTGAGGGCAGGACCAAGCCTGTCCACTCTGTTTACCATTGACCAAATGGAGAGATACAGCTTCAAAGGAGCCATGGGGTCAGCCACAAGCCGCCATCAATCATGAGGATTACAGATGCCAAAAAGAGTAATAAAGTCACCACGGGGATAAGCACCTCTGTCTCTGCCTGCCTGTAGAGATCAAAGATCACAACCCTGCCCTCGCTCACAGACTCCTGCCACCGGACAATCAAAGACTCTCCCGCGACGCTCTGACGCCCCCTTGTGAACAATGGACACTATCACACCCGGGACGGACAATTGCGAACCGGTACCCCTGGGTCCAGTACTCCAATAATCTGCATTGTGCCCCATATGTGTGTATCAATGTCAAAGTAATGAAATACGGTGTGTGTTTGTACATGTCTTATGATTATTAGCATCAATCCTGTGTGTTTCCTTTACAAACTGTCTGTTGTAAAAGGGGTCTGTCCACAGAGGGCAGGGGCGGCATGGACACGCCCCCTGGGAAGCCTATATGAGCACCCACACGCCATTGTTCTTTCTCTTGTTTTCCCCGAATCCACTATAACAACCACCCGTGGGTACGTGTTCCCTACACGGCCTGCGCTCGCAACCTCCCTCTCAGCCCTGCGGCCACGCAAGTACGCGCCTCCAGCAACGACTGTGCCGTCCGCCCCGAGGCCTCCCGCTTCCACGCAAGCCTCCTTTCTGGTTGGAATCTACGAACTGTTCATCACCAGCCTCTTTCCTTGGCTCGCGTGCACCAGCAGCTGGACCAAACTAGCAGGCTTCATAACTCCCGCCTGCCCGGACAAAGAAACCACGTGGGCTGTTTCCCAACCCAAAGACCTTCTCCATCCTCTACGCTCCTCCAAAGTAAGACTGTTCCTTGTTCAGTGTTCAATTTGAATGAAATGTGTACAGCTCCTACTCAAATGTGACCAGAAATCCTTTTTCGTTATGCTTCATCCCACTTTGTAATCAATAAATCCCTTTTCTTTAACTCAATCCTATCAGAGTCGTGTTGTTAAGATCTCGGACTATCACTGGCGGATAAAACGTATTCTACACCCTTAGATTATAGATTGATATCGAGGCAAAGATTTGGTTGGTGTCTATGTGCAGATTTCTAACTCTGCTGGTGCCCAAAATAAATAACATAGACCTGTTGGTGGAACGGCGAGCTTCCGCTCCGGAGACTAGCCGCTCCACACTACCAAATTCATACTAATAAGTAATTATAATCAGCTAATATAAGTAGTCACCCTACACATGCACAAATGCGTTTTTTTTTTTCACCTTTTCCTGTGGTAGGGGCTGCTCGGGGCCAGTTCCCGTTAACTTTTGCTGACCAATCAGATCACAAATAGGGGAACATGCCGAGGCTCATTATAAAAATTACAGAAGGCTTGATTGGAGCCATAATAATTCATATTTTCAAACTACTAATACTGAACTCCATAGTCCCTCTTCCATCGGGGACAATCTCCAAAATGACATGAAACAATAAATCCATGAAACTAGTTTGAGCACTCCATAAATGAAACGTCTCCATGTGACCAGACTGAGCTCTGCAGCGCTTTCTTTAATTGAGTTTGGAGTAATTACCATCAGCCTAATGCATTGTAAGTGCCTTCTAAATCAGGAGTAAAGATTTTGTCTCAGTCTCAGAGTGCGGGGGGCGGTGGGAGGAGTGGGGTGTAAGTGGAGCCCAGAGGGTCACACAGGACGCTCCACACTCTGCTCCACACTCTGCTCCACACTGATCCACACTCTGCTCCACACTCTGCTCCACACTGGTCCACACTCTGCTCCACACTCTGCTCCACACTGGTCCACACTCTGCACCACACTCTGCTCCACACTCTGCGCCACACTCTGCACCACACTCTGCTCCACACTCTGCACCACACTCTGCTCCACACTCTGCTCCACACTCTGCTCCACACTGATCCACACTCTGCTCCACACTCTGCACCACACTCTGCTCCACACTCTGCTCCACACTCTGCTCCACACTCTGATCCACACTCTGCTCCACACTCTGCACCACACTCTGCTCCACACTCTGCACCACACTCTGCGCCACACTCTGCACCACACCTCTGCTCCACACTCTGCACCACACTCTGCTCCACACTCTGCACCACACTCTGCACCACACTCTGCTCCACACTCTGCACCACACTCTGCAACACACTCTGCTCCACACTCTGCACCACACTCTGCACCACACTCTGCTCCACACTCTGCTCCACACTCTGCACCACACTCTGCTCCACACTCTGCGCCACACTCTGCTCCAGACTCTCCTCCACACTCTGCTCCACACTCTGCTCCACACTCTGCACCACACTCTGTTCCACACTCTGCTCCACACTCTGCTCCACACTCTGCTCCACACTCTGCTCCACACTCTGCTCCACACTCTGCTCCACACTCTGCTCCACACTCTGCTCCACACTCTGCACCACACTCTGCTCCATACTCTGCACCACACTCTGCTCCACACTCTGCTCCACACTGCTCGCTCCTCCACACTCTGCTCCACACTCTGCACCACACTCTGCTCCACACTCCGCTTCACACTCTGCTCCACACTCTGCACCACACTCTGCTCCACACTCTCCTCCACACTCTGCACCACACTCTGCTCCACACTCTGCACCACACTCTGCTCCACACTCTGCTCCACACTCTGCTCAACACTCTGCTCCACACTCTGCTCCACACTGATCCACACTCTGCACCACACTCTGCTCCACACTTTGCTCCACACTCTCCTCCACACTCTGCTCCAGACTCTCCTCCACACTCTGCACCACACTCTGCACCACACTCTCCTCCACACTCTGCTCCAGACTCTCCTCCACACTCTCCTCCACACTCTGCTCCAGACTCTCCTCCACACTCTGCACCACACTCTCCTCCACACTCTGCTCCAAACGGAGGCGGGAGCTGGACTGGGTCAAATACACTACAAGCAAAACCTACTCAATCTGGAGAGACTCGAACAAATGCAATAGTAGAACCGTATATTGTTTTTTTCCTATTCCTGCACTACATGAAAAGCACATATAACTTTGAAGACAATGTTTTCAAGATTATATTTATTGCTGCTGTACATGAAATGCAGTTAAGATCTGGTACTTAGACCCCGGCAGAGCACGGCATGACCTCATGAACATCTGATACTGTATGTTTCTGTACGGTGGTCATCTCGCTCCCTATGGACCAGGGATGTCCGAGGCCAAAAAAACAAACTTGCTACAAGCCGAGGGCCGGAGCGGTTCAATGTTTATTTAAACATATTACATTTATGCGTATAACTTATTGAACCAAGACCTAACAGAGGGCTCTGATTAAACCCTCGACCAAGAAAATTACAGGACGTGACAAATGAGTTCAGTTTAAGAGAAAAACAATATTACTTCTAATAATTACAGGTCGGCCTAACATTTAAGAATAATAGGGTTTTGTTGTTGAGAAAATGTAATTGAAAAAGAGGTATGACATGCTATTGTAGCCAACTGCCATTAATACGGCAACTTAATTTAAAATTATTTCAGGGGCCACCAGTGGGGGCGGGTCCCGGCTCAAAAGTGGCCAAAAGGACGTGCACTGACATGCTGCAATACCACCCCGGGCCGATGGGGGTGGACCCGGAAAAGGAATTAGCCAATGCTAACATATAGCATCTTCTTACTTCTCGAAAACGTCTTTACAGGATGGTCCAAAAGTTGTCTCTTGGCCCAAAGCTCCGTTCCACATGTGTGTCAATGCTGAGGGGGGTGTTCTGGACCACTCTAGTTTAGTCGCTGTGGACTTTAGAAGTCACTCGTTTAAATGAACGGGGCTCGTGCAGCTGACGCATGCACAGATGTGTTTTTTCACATTTTCCAGCCCCCGCAGCCATTTTGAATCCCTCCATGAGAGCCCATTTTTTGGCCCATTAGTTAGAACGGCGGAGGTAGGCGTGACTCCGTCCGTTAATATCCGGACGCCTGGATTTGGCCCGCAGGCCTGAGTTTGACATGTCTGCTATGGACCAATGGTTCCTATGTGTTTGTTATTATGGCACATTGTGATGGCACAGACTGGTTGCCTCGCTTCAGTCAGTGTGGCCCAGGGCAGCTGTGGCTATAATAGATTATCACCACCGTGTGTAGAGTGACAGAATAATGACATGTGACGTATTTTTGAGTGTCCAAAAAAGTGCTGTACATTAAAACCAATGCATTATTATTGTCCTCTACTGTTTTATAATCTGTAATGTATGTAACTGTTTTATAATCTGAAATGTATGTAACTGTTTTATAATCTGTAATCTATGTAACTGTTTTATAATCTGTAATGTATGTAACTGTTTTATAATCTGTAATCTATGTAACTGTTTTATAATCTGTAATGTATGTAAATGTTTTATAATCTGTAATGTATGTAACTGTTTTATAATCTGTAATCTATGTAACTGTTTTATAATCTGTAATGTATGTAACTGTTTTATAATCTGTAATCTATGTAACTGTTTTATAATCTGTAATGTATGTAACTGTTTTATAATCTGTAATGTATGTAACTGTTTTATAATCTGAAATGTATGTAACTGTTTTATAATCTGTAATCTATGTAACTGTTTTATAATCTGTAATGTATGTAACTGTTTTATAATCTGTAATCTATGTAACTGTTTTATAATCTGTAATGTATGTAAATGTTTTATAATCTGTAATGTATGTAACTGTTTTATAATCTGTAATCTATGTAACTGTTTTATAATCTGTAATGTATGTAACTGTTTTATAATCTGTAATGTATGTAACTGTTTTATAATCTGTAATGTATGTAACTGTTTTATAATCTGTAATGTATGTAACTGTTTTATAATCTGTAATGTATGTAACTGTTTTATAATCTGTAATGTATGTAACTGTTTTATAATCTGTAATCTATGTAACTGTTTTATAATCTGTAATGTATGTAACTTTTGTCCAGGACTCCCTTGAAAAAGAGGTTCTTAATCTCAATGGGACTTTCCTGGTTAAAGGTGAAAAAAAAAGTGTTGTGTTGCTGCAGACCTGGTTGTGTTGCTGCAGACCTGGTTGTGTTGCTGCAGACCTTGTTGTGTTGATGCAGACCTTGTTGTGTTGCTGCAGACCTTGTTGTGTTTCTGCAGACCTTGTTGTGTTGCTGCAGACCTTGTTGTGTTGCTGCAGACCTTGTTGTGTTGCTGCAGACCTGGTTGTGTTGTTGCAGACCTTGTTGTGTTGATGCAGACCTGGTTGTGTTGATGCAGACCTGGTTGTGTTGCTGCAGACCTTGTTGTGTTACTGCAGACCTTGTTGTGTTGCTGCAGACCTTGTTGTGTTGATGCAGACCTTGTTGTGTTGCTGCAGACCTTGTTGTGTTGCTGCAGACCTGGTTGTGTTGCTGCAGACCTTGTTGTGTTGCTGCAGACCTTGTTGTGTTGCTGCAGACCTTGTTGTGTTGATGCAGACCTGGTTGTGATGATGCAGACCTTGTTGGGTTGCTGCATACCTTGTTGTGTTGCTGCAGACCTTGTTGTGTTGCTGCAGACCTTGTTGTGTTGCTGCAGACCTTGTTGTGTTGCTGCAGACCTTGTTGTGTTGCTGCAGACCTTGTTGTGTTGCTGCAGACCTTGTTGTGTTGCTACAGACAGAGTGCAGTCACTTGACCTTTGCTCTGTCGCTCCCGGGAGAGAGGAGTAAACACAGTCCTGACCGCGCCCTGCTCTCGCACAGATCCTGCAATCAGGAGATAATTGCCTTATTAGCTCCTGATATCGACACAGGGAGACAACAGAGGCCACGGACGGAGCTGGACAGGGACAAAAAAACGGCCCCTGCATTTTTGACTTCTTGACGGCCCAGGCGTGTTCTTTTTCACGTCTTTCTTACAGTTTGTTTACAGTATGCGGAAGCCTATACTGTGTAGAGGATCAGGATGCATGCAGTTTAACAATAAATAAATTACAGTAGTCTACATTAAAGAGAGTAATAAACATGTCTCAGAGTGAGGGAGGTGGACACAGACAACACTATTGTTTGTTACAGTGATGAGAATTGGTTTAAAAAGTCTGAAATGCATAATGTCAGCCATTGGCTGGCTCTAAATCTGTTTGATTTGTTCACACATTTTTTTCTTTTGGACACAACCAACATCAACTTTTAATGCAATGGAGCTTTAATTTAGGGAATTCAGTCGCGCTTCAAGAGGAGAGCGGAGACGCAGACTGTTTCCTGCAGCGGTGTATTTATTGGGTGCACAGATTAGGCAAAGACACGCACACAACAAGCAGACAATGGTCCTGTGCGCGTTTATGGTCTAGGGTACATGGCCACGTTGCGGCCGCAACTCGGTAGAGCGGCCGTACGCTCACAGCCGCTCACAGTCCCTGGTCGTGGGAGCCGCTCATTACAAAGCAGCCGCAGCTTCCCGGGAACACTGCGGCCGCTGAGGTGGCGGAATCCCGTTCGAGTACATACAGCAGGTTCCCCGCGGACATGCACACCCCCCTCAAACATTTCTCAACGAATTTACAGTTTTCACAAACATGTTTTTTGTATGAGGCATCGGCCCTTTGGGCATTGCACGGTATGCCCGATGGCCAGTCCAGCCCTGGCCACAGACTGATGAGGACACAGACTGATGAGGACACAGACTGATGAGGACACAGACTGATGAGGACACAGACTGATGAGGACACAGACTGATGAGGACACAGACAGCAGGAGAACAGCAGCAGAAGAACAGGATCAGGAGAACAGGAGGAGGAGAACCAGCAGAAGCTCAGCAGCAGGAGAACCAGGAGCACAGGTCACAGAGAAAAGTGTATCTGAGGCGGAGTCAGCAGGAGGCGGCCGCAGACTCAAGTGGTGGTACCAGCGGCGGTAGCAGCGGCGGTAGCAGCAGTGGTAGCAGCAGTTGTACCAGCGTCGGTACCAGCAGTGGTACCAGCGGTGCTACCAGTGGATAAAATACTAATGTGTTTAATATATGATAAGCCTACAGTATATATATCACAGGACGTACACTGCTGCCATGAATCATTAAACAGAGGATTCTGTAGAAACTTGCTGGAGCAGGTGCGCAGCAGAGGGGGAAGAGTCCTGGTGCACATCATGGTTCCCACACTGCTGTCTTCACAAAAATTATTTGTATTGGAAAATGAAGGTCCAGGACCGAAACATAAAATCAGGCAAATTGCTCATTCTCAAATCAAGGGTTGCTTTTATTACTGCATTTAACTCTATTCCATTTTTTTTTTTTTTTTGGCTCATGTTGAACTTGCAATTATTGTTCAAGATTCAAGATTGTTTATTTTTGTCTCCTTTAGGAGAGATTTGGTTTGGACCGATGGGTCTGCTACATTTCAGTACAAAAAATACATACATACAAAGACACCAACACACGTGCTGTACAGTTCACACACACTTCATCTCCTCATGTCCTTATTTAACAGATTCACTGAAACAGGTATGAATGAGTTCTTAAAGCGACTGAGTCGGCACGAGTCCCTCTGTACCTCCTCCCAGAGTTCAAAAGCTCATACTCAGGGAAAAGTACATGTGTAGGATCAGAGAGGATTTTTAACCAAGTTATACTGTATATTTGTGTTTTCAATTTAACAAGAAGATTCCCAAACCAGCTGGTAATCCCGTAGCTCAGCAGTGATTCAATGGATGCTCTGTAGAAGAAGAGCATGATGTTCTTCAACTCACCGAACAGTCTGAGTCTGCGCAGAAAGTGGAGGCGTTGATGGATTCTGCTGCGAACAGTCGTCACCTGTGTCTCCAGCTCAGATCTGAGTCAATGTGGACTCCCAGATATCTAAAGGAGCTCACCTGCTTCATCTCCTGTCCGTGGATGGTCACTGGCTCATGGTGACCAGCTGCTTTGGGGTTTTCTGTATTAATCTGTAATTTATGTGAGTCACATCATTCTACCAGACTATTAACAGCAACCCTGTGTACATTCTGAGCAGAACTGTAGTGTCTGAGAATTTTAAAATGTACTGGTCTGGCAGCGCAGCGACACAGTCGTTGGTGTAGAAGGTAAAAAGAAAAGGTGAGCTGACAGACCCCTGGGGGCCGTCAGTGCTACATATTGTTGAATTTGACATTGTGGAATTAAATTTTACCTGTTGTGGTCTCTCTCTCAAAAAAGAGTGATACCATTTTTATCAGAAATGGGTTTACTTGTGCCTACTATTGTATTTAAGTGATATGCTGCACATTACTACTCTTTACCTTGACATATTTTAGGATATATTATGTTTCCACGGCTTTGCTTCTCCCCATCAGAAATGAAAACGGGGGCTCCACCTGCTGGTGAAGTCGATCCAAGCCATTTATATCATGCTGAATCCACTTGTGTTTCCCATTGTCATTCACACACAAGCCTCTCGCACTGAACAATCTCCGTGATTAAACATACAGATAAATGTCTGTTTAGCGGTGATGGATGAAGACCACGTCTCCCTCACATTTCTGATGCGACTGGAGTCTTCCATTAGCTCACTGTACCACGCAGGATTTAAAATGCATAGAATGGAGCGGGTCGCCAACTCATTTCTTTTCCAATTTGTGTTTTGTTGACAGTGAATCAGAGCTGCTGCTAATATCCATTAGCCCTGAGGCCACGAGCGTTTCATCTGAGAGCGGGAAAAACCAGGACGCAAAGGTCTGAAGTCTACGTCTGTGTGAGGACCAGAAATATGGTCCTGGACAACAGAGACTGGAGCGAAGTGTTTAGAGTGGGACGTTACTGAGAGAGAGAGAGAGAGAGAGAGAGAGAGAGAGAGAGAGAGAGAGAGAGAGAGAGAGAGAGAGAGAGAGAGAGAGAGACAGAGAGAGAGAGAGAAGAGACAGACAGAGTTAGAGGGGTAGAGACAGTTAGAGAGAGAAGAGAGAGAGCACACCAGACAGAGAGAGAAGGAGAAAGACAGAGAGAGATAGAGAGAAAGAGACACACACAGAAAGACAGAAAGAGTGAGAGAGAGAGGGAGAGAGTGAGAGAGAGACTTAATAGCTACTTTTGCAATTAAGTCCTCAGATTAAAAGCCCTTCTGAGTGGAGTTTGCATGTTCTCTCTGTGTCTGCATAGGGGTCCTCTAGACCTCCAGCTCTGGTCCTGATCATACACGGGCCCTGTTACTACGGTGACCACTGGTTCAGACAGAGTGGCCCTGAGAGGACAATAAAGTATAGCTCAACTTAAATGTGTTTTTACTTCTGGGCTACTTTCACTTTCACTTTTTTAGATATATCTTGTGTGTGTATCTCGATGTTTTTTCTGTTGGGTGGGCCTCTAATAAAAGTCCAAATGAAGGTAAAGGCTGATGAACATGATGGGATCAATGATCACAATGATAATGTCCTCAAACTGAATGTACTTTGGGTCAATGAGCTTTAGCACCGTGTGAAGGTTCAGAGCATATGAACACTTTGGTGAGATCGGACTCGACGTGTGCGACTGCATGTGTCTGTGTGTGTGTGTGTGTGTGTGTGACTGCGTGTGTCTGTGTGTGTGCGACTGCATGTGTCTGTGTGTGTGTGTGTGTGTGTGACTGCATGTGTCTGTGTGTGTGCGACTGCATGTGTCTGTGTGTGTGCGACTGCATGTGTCTGTGTGTGTGTGTGTGTGACTGCATTTGTCTGTGTGTGTGCGACTGCATGTGTCTGTGTGTGTGCGACTGCATGTGTCTGTGTGTGTGTGTGTGTGTGTGACTGCATGTGTCTGTGTGTGTGCGACTGCATGTGTCTGTGTGTGTGCGACTGCATGTGTCTGTGTGTGTGTGTGTGTGACTGCATTTGTCTGTGTGTGTGCGACTGCATGTGTCTGTGTGTGTGAGTCTGTGTGTGTGCGACTGCATGTGTCTGTGTGAGTCTGTGTGTGTGCGACTGCATGTGTCTTTGTGAGTCTGTATGTGTGCGACTGCATGTGTCTTTGTGAGTCTGTATGTGTGCGACTGCATGTGTCTGTGTGAGTCTGTGTGTGTGCGACTGCATGTGTCTGTGTGAGTCTGTGTGTGTGCGACTGCATGTGTCTTTGTGAGTCTGTATGTGTGCGACTGCATGTGTCTGTGTGAGTCTGTGTGTGTGCGACTGCATGTGTCTGTGTGAGTCTGTTTGTGTGCGACTGCATGTGTCTTTGTGAGTCTGTTTGTGTGCGACTGCATGTGTCTGTGTGAGTCTGTGTGTGTGCGACTGCATGTGTCTGTGTGAGTCTGTGTGTGTGCAACTGCATGTGTCTGTGTGTGTGCGACTGCATGTGTCTGTGTGTGTATGTGTGTGACTGCATTTGTCTGTGTGTGTGCGACTGCATGTGTCTGTGTGTGTGTGAGTCTGTGTGTGTACGACTGCATGTGTCTGTGTGAGTCTGTGTGTGTGCAACTGCATGTGTCTGTGTGTGTGCGACTGCATGTGTCTGTGTGTGTATGTGTGTGTGCGACTGCATGTGTCTGTGTGAGTCTGTTTGTGTGCGACTGCATGTGTCTGTGTGAGTCTGTGTGTG